CTTTTGCCATAGGACAAAATAGAGAGACAACAGAGAGGAAAGTGAAATCATCCCCCACGCGGAATGGCCACATTGCAATTCCTTCTCCTCTCAGGATTTTTGGACACACATGCACGCACATACACGTGCCCAGCATGATTTTCAACCACCTGGTCTGGGACTAGAACTCTGGTTGGCCATTTGGTAGTCCAGCAGCTTAACTACCATATCACCTGCTGGCCCCTCCATTTTTGCTTCCTTATAATTAAATTTACTTTATGTACAACAACAAAAAAAATGGCAGTTATAATACCTCTCTCCTTGAAATATTTGGATTTATGATTTTAAAATTCTCTCTTTCATTTGAATGGAATTCTATACTTGCTATTCAAACTTGATATGCAAACTTCAATGTATCATATTACCATATGTATTGTATGGTTCATTCTGCTATAGATCTTTACATTAGAAGCCTTGTTCAGAAGGGTTTAAGTTAAATAACTTAGTAGACTTTGGTGCTGGAATTCGTAATTTTAAATTAAATTAGAAAGTTAAAAGAGGGACCAACAGTTAGCATAATGGCCATGTCACTGGACTCCCGTGTAGTTGACCTCAGTTCAAGGCCCAGACCTGTTGGCTTAAAATTCACTCCTGGCACGTATGCCTGCGTGCCCAAGGTCCCGAGAGGAGAATGGAGGAGAAGGGATTGCGGTGCGGCCATGCCCCCTGGGGGGTGATTTCTTACTTTCTGTCTCTCTGTCCCTCTTGGTCTTTCTGGCGAGCGCATGCGCCCTGTAGCAAAAATCTCTCCAAAAAAAAGAAGGTTAAAAGAACCTGAACACCAAACATTTCAATGGGAATAGAAAATGGTTTTGTAACTTTCTGATTTCATCTATAAACATTTAATTATTATATAAACTTGAAACCAGCTTTAAGTAAGATCATTTTCAGCAGTAATTAAAAAAGTATTGTAAGCAGTCAAAAAAAGTAAGTAATCACTTTAGAAGATTATAAACTGGCTTTGATTTGTAGATGAGAACTTTTGGAATGTGTCCATTAGAATTTACTGTAATCTCTTGGGTTTTTTTTCTTTCCTTCTTTTTTTTTTTTTTCTTACCTCCCCTACACATATAAACACATCTTAAAATAAGTGGTATGATTAAAGAGAATTAGTTCCTAAGCAATTTAGCAAATTGCCTACTAGTATGTATCACTGAGATCAAAGGGAAAAATGATCTTTTTAATTGTTCAAGACACAATTTGCTTTATAGTAATGGCAGTTACATTTGCTGTTTTCATTATTTGGAACCTCACAACCCTCTGGGTTGTATGTTGGAAGGAAAAAAGAAATTTCTGTTTAGGTAGTTGATGCGTGGGTTTGTCATTGTTTCCCAAAATACAGATTTTTGAGACACTTGTTTCACACTTCCTAACTTCAACCAGTGAGTTACAAGAGTTCCTTTTCTTTTTCCAGTTCCTCCTCTTTTTCCAGTTTTTGCTATAGAGCACATGTACTTGCCAGAGAGAGAGAGACAGAGGGAAAATGAGAAATTACCTCCCAGGAGGATGATCATGCCACAGTCCCTTCTCCTCCAGTCTTCTCTTGGGATTTTTGGCACGAATGTACACAAGTGTCTGGCATGACTTTGAGGCCTCCATGTCTGGGACTCAACCATAGAGTTGACCATATGGAAGCCAGCACCTGTTAACCTCCACACCACCTGCTGGCCAGCTTAAGTTCTTTTTTGAAAGTACTCTTGTTCTTCTTTGAACTAATCTTTTATTAGTTTTAGAATCTTACCTGGCACATACTCCAGTCCTAACCCCCTTTACCATGTTACCTTTTTTTTAATAGCTGATAGCTTGCAATTGGCAGACAATGATTGTTTGTAGAGGGCCAGGCATTGAGATAACGTCATACATGCTGTTTGGATATTTAACCATTACTTCCAGATTCTCATAAAAGTTCAACATCAACCTCATTCTTCTGTCAAAGCTGATTTTCTTTCTAACTACTTTTCTCTCACAGTTCTCAGTCAAATTACATTAATAAATATAACTAAAGAATCTGTCATATTAGGAGCAAGCAGATGGCATGGTGGTTAAGGCACCGGGCTTCCATATTGGCAACCACTGTATAAGTCCCAGACCTGGTGGCTTGAAAATCATGCCAGGCGCACATGTGTGTGTCCAAGTTTTTGAGAGGAGAATGGAGAAGAGATCGCCAGTGGCCATCCCCACTGGGGGAGCGATTTCTCACTTTCCCTTTCTCTGTGTCTCTGTCTCTCTCTGGTGAGCACAAGCACCCTATGGCAAAAAAAAGAAAAAGAAAAAAAGAAAGTCTGGCATTATCTATCAAATTCTAAGGTATTTCTCCTTTGATCCAACCATCCTACACTGATGATCTATCCTACAAACATAACTACACATGTATGAAATATCATGTTCAGGCTTATTTGGTGCAGCATTGTTTATGATATCAAAAGATAAGATGCAGTCCAAGTATCCAGCAATAAAGGACGAGATCTTAAAGTTAGAATGGCATGGGAAGTTAGACCAAAGGAAAGCATGCCACTTAACTTGCGCATTGTCAGCACAATATTGACAGCATTGAAAATGCTAAAAAGGCAGATCTTGAGACATTTCTATCAATGGGTGGTAAACAGGAAATAATTGTACATTCTGAATTTCACTAATGATATAAATTTCACTAATGATATATCAGATGGTCTTATTATTTTACATTTTGTTGTAATGCATAAAAAATGTGTAAAGGCTCTCATAGATTGCCTAGTTTTGGTTCCCATTCCTGAGTCTCATAAAAACTGAGTATTCTGTTAAGGTTTTCAGGAACCTCCTCTTGCTTGGTTAAAAACTACTCTAATTGATAATTACAGCTTGTTTTTTGATCTGTGAACAAGGGTGAGGGGAAGATGATTAGGAAAAAAGTTCTAAGTACATTTGTTACAAAAATTTTGTTCTTAGAGGATTAGCATTTTAAATTTTGTTTAGTATTTATACTCCTCAGCATCTTTTTTTAAATTTTTTTGGAGAGGTTTTTGCTATAGGGCATGTGCGCTCGCCAGACAGAGACAGAAAGCGAGAAATCACCCCCACCAGGGGGAATGGCCACGCCGCAGTCCCCCTCCATTCTCCTCTCAGGATCTTGGGCACGCATGCACACGTGCCTGGCGTGAGTTTTAAGCCACTGGGTCCGGGACGTGAACCGTGGTCGACTACGTGGGAGTTCAGCAGCATAGCCATTATGCTAACTGCTGGTCCCACTCCTCAGCTTCTTAAAAATGATGCAAGGTGGTATGAAGGGGAACTTGGAAACTTTTTCTCTGATTAAATTTGTCTGAGTGAACACAATTGAAGGCAGAGGCTTAGACCAAAACTAGGACCAAAGATAGACAACAGGAGCCTAGATCCTAGATTCATGCTGGTCACATAGTCTGGAAAGTCCTGATGTATTTTTTTAAAATAATTATTTTACTTAATTTTATTCATTATTACTGTTATTTTTAATTTGACCAGAGAGACAGAAAGAGAGAGGGAAGGTGAGAAAGCAAGCCACTAAGTCCAGGACTCGAACCACCATCTGCCATGTGGGAGTCTAGTGCCTTAACCACCACACCACTTGCCAGCCTCAATGGTACATTTTTGCATAGAAAATTAAGTCATGACTTTCCCAATGACCCAATTGTATTTCTAATAGCAATAGAATAGTAGCTTAGGTATGTGGAAGAAAGTTTGGAGAAGAACTGAAGATAACCCTGAATTTTTATGCTTAGAATTTTGATAAATAGCCGGGACGTGAACCGTGGTCGACTACGTGGGAGTTCAGCAGCATAGCCATTATGCTAACTGCTGGTCCCACTCCTCAGCTTCTTAAAAATGATGCAAGGTGGTATGAAGGGGAACTTGGAAACTTTTTCTCTGATTAAATTTGTCTGAGTGAACACAATTGAAGGCAGAGGCTTAGACCAAAACTAGGACCAAAGATAGACAACAGGAGCCTAGATCCTAGATTCATGCTGGTCACATAGTCTGGAAAGTCCTGATGTATTTTTTTAAAATAATTATTTTACTTAATTTTATTCATTATTACTGTTATTTTTAATTTGACCAGAGAGACAGAAAGAGAGAGGGAAGGTGAGAAAGCAAGCCACTAAGTCCAGGACTCGAACCACCATCTGCCATGTGGGAGTCTAGTGCCTTAACCACCACACCACTTGCCAGCCTCAATGGTACATTTTTGCATAGAAAATTAAGTCATGACTTTCCCAATGACCCAATTGTATTTCTAATAGCAATAGAATAGTAGCTTAGGTATGTGGAAGAAAGTTTGGAGAAGAACTGAAGATAACCCTGAATTTTTATGCTTAGAATTTTGATAAATAGCAATGCTTACTGTGGTAAAAAGAATTTAGTCATGGTAGAGAATTTGTTTTAGGGGAAAAAGATAATTCTGCCTCTCGGGTGTTTTCTTTAAGAAAAGTTAAGAATTCTGGATATGCAGAATTTGATTGATGGATCTTTGGCTGGTTACCACTGTAACATGCCTTCTAAAGTAATCCATTTCAAATACTTGGCTATGTAATTGCATTATTCTTTAGCCCTTGTTTTTGAATATCAAAAGTCAGGAAATATAATTATAGTTCTTACCTAGACAATTAATGTGAAACAAATATATAAGATTAAGTTTTATAGATGGTAGTTTATAGTAATTAAGACTTACATTAGACTTTGTATTAGCCTTTCAGGTATTTCATGTTATTTCTATATATAAAGATTCATATGTAATTCTCACAAAATTTTTTGTGGTTGAAATATTATTCCCATCTTTTAGATGTTAAAGTAAGGCCCAGGGTTTGTGACTTATGTAGTCACACTCCTGTGACTAGCTCGACTTCCAACTCCAAATACCATCATTTCTCCATCCTACTATTTGTTTTCCTTATTTTTAGTGTCATGTTATTGTACCTGGTTAGTTGACAGCATGCCTTTTGTCTTTGTAGGATATGGCTTTAGTTGCGCCTGAAGCTCCTTCAGAACAAGCCAGGAGAGTTTTTCAAACCTATGATCCAGAAGGTAAAAGATTTTATGAAATGTCAACTGTTTTATGTTTATGTATTTGAAAGACATTGAAACTAACTTGAGTTTTATTCAGAAAACTTACTGGATTATAAGATGAAAAATGGGTTGAATTTCTTGAAAATTCTGAAAGGAATAAATAAAATAGCATACTTAAATGCTCATCAACTTCTGTCATGGCTTAAGACATTTGTATTTCTTGGAGTACTGAAGTTAGTTACTTGAATCTCGATCTCTGATAGTCAGTTTCCAACAGAGAAAAATACTACCTTCTGAACAAGGCCTTTAAAAAGTAAGTCATTTTCTTATTTACTTATCCAAATTAATAATAAATAAACATCTTCCAAGGTATGTCTGTATAGTTGTGTTATAATAAAGATAGAGAAGAATATCATCTTTATCATTCTCTTTAAGTCTCTGTGCTTAGCTATTCTACTAACAAAGAATAGTTTTGAAAAGGTCACCTAAGTCATTAAAATATCTGTCATATCACTGTCTCCTGGCTTGTTTTGATCATTTTTATATTTACGTTCTTAGATAATAGTTTTGACTTAACTATTAGAGTTAGCTCCCTAACTTTTCAAATATAACTTCAAAACTAAGTACTGGCTTAAGTTTTATTATAAATTACAAGATAGAAACTAAAGTGGTTAGGTCAGTGAAGTCATTGTGAACCCTGAATTGATTCAGTTATCTTTATGAATACACTTTCTTCTGTCTTGAAGCTGTTTATTCTTGGTGATCTGTTGTGCTCTTTGAAAAATTTGCATAATACAAATTTTAGAAATACATCCCCACACCACTTACTAGCAGTATAACTTTAGGCTAGCTACTTTTAGATCTATACATTTGTTTTCTTGGCTTTTAAATGAAAATAACTACCACCTGTTTCTTAGAGTCATAAAAAGATTAAATGAGTAGTTTTTTAGAAAGCACTTTGCCCTGTGGTACTTGGTCGTGTACGTGCTTTATAAATACGTGTTTCCGCCTCTACACACCTTAGGTTCATTGTTATTATTGGTATTTTGACTTTGAGTTAGCTTTCCTCCTTCTATTATACCATTTCCCTAACCTAAGGAACAAAAGTTTCTTTTCTCTTAGAATCATTTAAATTTGGGGTAGCATTTTACTTAGATATTTACATAAAGAAGTAAGAGATTTATGTCTTCACATTTTCCCACTACATAAGAATAGCCTTATAGAAATCTTCAACTTGAATCATTGCTATGCGTAGCACATTCAATTACGCCATGCTAGATGACAGCTTATAAGCATTCTCTTGCCACTTGTAACCCTTGGATGGAAAAACAGGAAATAATCATTTCTGTCCCTAAACATTTTTAATACATTTTGAAGTGAGGATCAACTTATTAAAAGATAGTTTTTAAAAACAATACAAGTTAATATGAAGATAAGTTAAATATAAATAGTACAGTACAAGAGTTAAAGAAATGTAATTGGAATAAAACTTAGGGAGCTGTCATGAACACATAAGGGGAAAAAATCACATTGGCAAATGGAAGCAAAAAGATAAAGTGGGGTGGTAGGACAGTGAAGGCACTGGACTCGCACATGGCCAACTGCGGTTCAAGCCCTGGACCTAGCAGCTTGAAAATCATGCTGGTACATGCGTGCATGTGTATGCCCAAAATCCCGAGAGAAAGAAGGAGGGGAGATTTCTCACTTTGCATCTCTCCATATCTTTTTTAATCTCTCCTCTCCTGCAAGCATTCACTCCCTATGACAAAAACCTTAAAGAAAAAAAGAGGAAAGAAAGAAAGTGACACATACCTATGACACAGGCAGGAGAAAGCAACTTATAAGGAGAAGTCAGCAGAGCATTCAACTCAAGTAGAAAGGGCTCAAGAAAAATAAGATAGAATTGACTAAAAAGAAGTGATGCTAGAGATAACAGATTATTGAAATAACTTAACACATTAATGATGAAGGCTTGGATTCATATTTAAAAGAAGAATGAGTTGAGTCATTTCCTGGTACTGTAAGGCCTTTAGGCCTATGATTTATTTTCTGCCATCTTTAGATGCTTTCCTTCTGTATGCCTTACATTCCAGTGAGGAACAGCACTTCACAGCCACGCATGTACAAGTGCACTTCAGAAGTTTGTGGAATATGGAATTAAAGTACAGGTTTATTTTAGTGAAAAAGTTTTGAAAAGTCAAGCATAATTTTTTTATAATGTGCATTTTCTATGAACTTTTTGAAGACTCCCCACCCTCCAGACACCTATGTAAATACCTACTGGTTCAGGATTTATCGGGGATGGATTATCTACCCATACTGGTATTAATTACAGAATGAAAGATAAACTTCTTGCAGAATGGAATACATGTCAAATGTTTTTCTGCATCTGGCACATGGCCAACTGCGGTTCAAGCCCTGGACCTAGCAGCTTGAAAATCATGCTGGTACATGCGTGCATGTGTATGCCCAAAATCCCGAGAGAAAGAAGGAGGGGAGATTTCTCACTTTGCATCTCTCCATATCTTTTTTAATCTCTCCTCTCCTGCAAGCATTCACTCCCTATGACAAAAACCTTAAAGAAAAAAAGAGGAAAGAAAGAAAGTGACACATACCTATGACACAGGCAGGAGAAAGCAACTTATAAGGAGAAGTCAGCAGAGCATTCAACTCAAGTAGAAAGGGCTCAAGAAAAATAAGATAGAATTGACTAAAAAGAAGTGATGCTAGAGATAACAGATTATTGAAATAACTTAACACATTAATGATGAAGGCTTGGATTCATATTTAAAAGAAGAATGAGTTGAGTCATTTCCTGGTACTGTAAGGCCTTTAGGCCTATGATTTATTTTCTGCCATCTTTAGATGCTTTCCTTCTGTATGCCTTACATTCCAGTGAGGAACAGCACTTCACAGCCACGCATGTACAAGTGCACTTCAGAAGTTTGTGGAATATGGAATTAAAGTACAGGTTTATTTTAGTGAAAAAGTTTTGAAAAGTCAAGCATAATTTTTTTATAATGTGCATTTTCTATGAACTTTTTGAAGACTCCCCACCCTCCAGACACCTATGTAAATACCTACTGGTTCAGGATTTATCGGGGATGGATTATCTACCCATACTGGTATTAATTACAGAATGAAAGATAAACTTCTTGCAGAATGGAATACATGTCAAATGTTTTTCTGCATCTGTTGAAACAGTCATATTGCTTTTGTCCCTCTTTCTATTTATGTGATTTGTCACATTGATTAATTCCATTCTCTTGAACAGCCCTTGCATGCTTGGAATGAATCCTACTTGATCATACTGAATGACCTTTCAATATGTTTTGAATTCATTTAGCTAGGATTTTTTTAAAAGAATTATTTATTTTATTTTATTTATTTATTCATTTTATTTATTTATTATTTTAATTTGACCAGAAAGACACAGAGAGAGAGTGAGAGAGGGAAAGTGAGAAAGCAAGCCACCAAGTCTGAGACTCAAACCGTGGTCGGCCATGTAGGAATCTAGCACCCTTATCCACCACGCCACTTGCCAGCCCTAGCTAGGATTTTTTTTTAAAGAATTTTTTTAACTTTATTTTATTTATTTTAATTTGGCCATAGAGGGACAGAGTGAGAGAGAGAGAGGAGGAAAGTGAGAACACAAGCCGCCAAGTCTGAGACTTGAACCACGGTCAGCCATGTGGGAGTCCAGCACCCTTAACCACCATTACCATGTGCTCCCACTTAGCTAGTATTTGTTGAGGATTTTTACATCTGTTTTTGTCAGGGATATTGGTCTTTTTTGCTACTTTTTTACTACTCTATAACTTAGGTGTGATAGGTTGTAAATGTCCAGGATTTTAACCCTTTCTTCTAGGTTTTTGTAGTTTGCTGATGACTAATTGTTGATAGTAGTCTCTGATGATCCTTTGTATTTCTGTGCTGTCAAAAACTGAGCCTTGATTCTTCTTTCTCATTTGTTTATCTATTATAATTTTTTTCTTATGGTTACCAAAGGCCTGACAAAGAATCTTTCAGTTTACTATTTTAAGCTGATAGCAGTTTAACTTTGGTCACATAAAAATATTTTTACTGTTACCTCACAATTTGTATTTTTGCCTCTTTAATTTACATCTTTATGAAGATGTTTTATATTTGTCCTTTTAACCACTAATTGTCTCTGTTCTTACTTTTGATCATTTTGTTTGAAGATTTACATAGTTTTGTTTTTTAAAAAAAAGATTTGCATAGTTTTGGTTTTTTTTTTTTTTTTGAGAGAGAGAGGTATTTTGCTATAGGGCGCGTACGCTCGCCAGAAAGAGAGAGACGGAGAGACAGAAAGCGAGAAATCACCTCCCAGGGGGGATGGCCATGCCACAATCCCTTCTCCTCCACTCTCCTCTCAGGATCTTGGGCACGCACGCACACGCGCCCAGCGTGAGTTTTAAACCACCAGGTCTGGGCCGCAAACCACGGTCGACTACGTGGGAGTCCAGCGACATAGCCATTACGCTAACTGCTGGTCCCTACATACTTTTATTATAATACTGGAGTATTTTGAGTTTAGTTATGAATTTACTTCTAGTCAGTCACACATATACATGTTTTCAGACTAGTGATATCTTTTCATTTCCTGTTATAGCACTCTCTTAAGTATTTTTGTAAGACTAGTCCTGTGGAGATGAATTCCTTCAAATTTGCTTGTCTGGGAAAAGCTTTACTATTACTTTATTTCTGAAGGATAGCTTTGTTGTGTATAGTATTAATGGCTGACAGTTCTTACCTTTTAGCACTTTGAAAGTATCAACTCTTGTTCTTTCCAGGTTTCTGCCAAGACATCTGTTGGTGGGGAATTCTCTCATATGTGACTTGGCACTTTTCTCACTGCGTTTAGAATTCTGTTTTTGACTCGACAGTTTGATTACAGTATGCCATGGAGAAGACCTTTTTGGTTTGAATCTATTTGGAATCTTTGAGCTTCCTAGATCTGGACATCCATTTGTCTACTAAGACTTGGGAAGTTTCCC